CCTGCTGACTATCACAAGCTCCGGAGCAAACTCTGGAGGACGGCGGAAGACAGGAGGGCCTGTCATGATGTGTTCCAGGAAGTGTACCCTGAACAAAGTTAGGGTAGGTTTTAGTTAGTGTCTTAGTATAGTTAGAGATAGGTAGTATAGGTGCTAGTAATTATAGGTACTCTTATTAGTAGTTTGTAAATTGATCTAAGAATAGAAGCACAATTGCACATCCTTTTAAAATATGTTCTTGGAATGCTAGGGGTTTGAACAATAAGCACAAACTTTATAAAGTGTCTTCCTTTTGGGCGAAGGAACATCCGGACATTTTATGTCTACAGGAAACCCACCTGAAAAATCCACCTCAGCGTATTTTGAAATCGGTGTGGTTTACCCAGCAGTTCCACGCAGCAGGATCCTCTAAATCGAGAGGAACGGCTATACTCCTCTCAAAAAACTTCCCCTTCCAATGTTGCCAAACAAAAGCTGACCCAAGAGGCCGCTTTCTGTTCATCAAAGGGCTCTTAAATGACCAACCTTTAACGATTGCCTCTATTTATGCGCCCAATATAGACCAGATGGTGTTTCTGAAGGATGCTTTAGATAAGCTTGCAGAGTTCAAGCAGGGTGAAGTAATAATTGGGTGTGATCTGAACAGTATTATTGACAATACTATGGACCGTACTTTTAAAACTAAACAGAAATCAAAGAGCAGGAAAACCCAAGTAACGTCAGAGTTGGCTAAACTGTTAGATTCCTATAATCTGGTAGATTTTTGGATGACAATGAATCCGGGTGTTAAGCAATTTACTTTTTATTCACACACTCATGCTGTTTATACACACATTGATTTTATTTGAGTTTCCCACTCTATAAGGACTCAATTTATAGAAGCCGACATAGGGAGCATCACATTGTCTGATCATGCTTGGGTGTCTGGATGTTTTAGAAAACAACACTCGGATGGTAAAGGGTCAAACTGGATGCTGGATGCTGAATAAAATCCTTATACAAAAATAAAGCATAGTCGAAGACATTAAAAATAAAATAACTGAATACTTTAAAATCAGTGCCACCGGGGAAGTTAATCAAAATAGTGTTTGGGATGCCTTTAAGGCAGCAATACGGGGTCAATTGATCTCTATAGCATCCTATACAATTGATCTCCATTTACTGACCTGGCATTCAGTAGCAGGATCGTAAGACCAAGGGATCCAGCCTCTGTGCAGCCAGGTCTCTGTTGGTTGTGAGGCAGACCTGAAGGAAGAGTGGCCAACCAGTATCCGGGCCACCTTCTCTTGGAAGGGCGAATCTGTGTCCCATCATTATATATCTCTCTGCCCCGGACCTGGGGAATGGCATCCCCCCACCCATACCTACTTGCTATCTTCCCCATAAGGAGTAGCTGAAGACTAATAGTTCCACTCCCTAACTACCTAATAAGTCCTTAGTGCTTTCAGTGCCAGTTTCTCCTGACTGGGTAACAAGTCCTTGTGTCTCCCTGAAGTGGCTTGTCGAAAGTAGTGACCTCTTTTGGTGTTGCCCCTTTGGTGGTGACCCTGCTATTGGGGGGTCCTGCCCCTGCAAGAGTCCAGACTTTATCCCAGAATCCCAGGGGAAAGTTGTGATGGAAGCCTGGGCAGGAAACTGCTGACTCAGGATTTGCTTCAGCAAAGAGGCACACACATCAAGCAGGAGTCCCACAGCTGAGGTCCTAGGCAGCAACAGCAGACAGTTGAATGGTCTGGCTTACCCTTCTCTTCCCAGGCAGGCAGTTTCTGGACTTCTTTTCTTGGCTGGGGTGTAGAGCAATACTGTGGAGTCCCTACAGGAGTCCAGGTTTTATCCCAGGCTTCATATCTGAAGAAGTGAGCAGTGACTCACAAAAGCTCATACCCTACCACAAATTTTGTTAATCTTTAAGGTGCTACCAGACTCTTACTCTTTTCTGCAGCTACAGAGTAATACGGCCACTCATCTTGATCTATCACCATTTTAAAAAATGAAATGCAAGATTTTCAGGGACAGGCACCTGAGAAACAGGAAGACTACATGAGTACTGACACATAATGAAATGATTCACAGAGTAAGATTTGCATGCCCCAGCTAGACAATTAGCATGACAGGAATTTACTCACGTTGAACCACTAACTATATAGACATTTACTGGTTTATCTAGTTTGAAATGGCAATATATGAGCTATTTCATGATATAATTTGTAGCAGAGGTGTGCTTGTTATAGCATCCATTACCAGATGTTGTTAACTTAAGACTTTTAGTGAATGAGATCTGGCCGTTGCATAACAGAGGAACGTGGGAATAAAATGTTATATCGGAATACAATTGGTGTTTGAAGGAATGAAATATAACCAGAGTTCAGAATTTCTGCTAGTTCTTGCAGCTTTCTTCATAGTCCACACAGTTTTCCCACTGTGGTACTAAGTTGTTTCTTGTGTACTTTTCCAGGATAATAAAGCAGAATAATTTATTAGAGCTGGCATAATGTCTGCTGTGAACAAGAATATGTGTTGCAGTATTTGCTGCAGTTCACCACATGTGCTGCTTCTGCATTATAAAGCAGGAAGATAATCCTAAATGAAGTACTTGATCTTGATCCAAAGTAGCCTTTGTCCACTTACTCTCTTGATTTGGCTTTGTATTCTAGAAAACAGAAATGATACTCAAGAAGCTACAACTAATGAATCTGTGTCTGGGCTGCTTTTTAAATGGAAACTTTTAAAAATAAATGTTGATCCTTCTTTCTTATGTTGTCCAGCAAAGATGATGGTGGAAAGTCAGAATTCAAATACAGAAACTGTTAAAGATATTGGTGGTATAGTCTATTGCCAGATCTTGTGTTTGTTTTCTGAATGCCAGGAAATTGTACCGGTACTGACCCTTTTTTCGAATCCACTAGGTAGAGTTAAAATGGAAACTGAATTGTAAGTAACTTTTTGTGGTCAACCAATTTATGTCTTGAATGGCTTCTTTCCAAAGAGAAAAGTTTGAATACTGTTATAATATTATCAGATTACATGGGCGGATGCCTGATTTAAAACTAGAGTAAGATGAAGTTCATGAACTTGCAGCAGATTTAGGAATGAAAGTAAAGAGTCAGTTTTTTCATAAGTAATTTTAAAAATATAGACCACAATCCAACCAATGGAAAATAATTTTAAGTGCTATTGAGATAAATGCAAGAGAGTTCATCTTAACTCAGCTTATCCATTGAAATCAATGGAATTTAGAAGTGCTTACCTTTGGCTCTGTTGTATCCATTCACAATCCATTTATTTTCATGTTTTAATCCCTCCTTTGAGTTCTTAAAGCATATATACACATCTGTCAAATTAATAATAAAAGTAAATGAATGCCTCTACTGTTCTCTTCATGTGAAAGTTGATAAAGAAGAAAGATGTTTTAATTCCATCAGTGATAATATTTGATACATCTAACACCACTTCATAAGCCATGTAATCAGTTACTTTTTTTTAAAGTCCAAAGGTTGAGAAGGGTAGTGTCTGCTGGATAGTCATCCAGACTTACCTGGCTTGCTGTGGGGAACCCCCCCCCCCCCAATTTGGTCTCAATCTGGGCAGAAGTGCAGCTTCTGAGAACCTGGTCTAGCAAGAAGTATGTAGACTTAAGCATTAAGTGTTTGGGACAGCTTGAGCATTTAGGAAGAGGCTGTGTCCATTAGAGAAGAGGAGGAGCCAAGTGCTGCAACCTCCTCCTCTCATGTTGGGACCCTTGGAGCACAGGTGCCATCACTGCTGAAGGTGGAGCCCCTGGATGGGGGACTGAGAGAGGGGCAAGTAGAGAGAAAATAGAATGCAGAAAGTTAAAATTACAGCATACTAAGATCACTTTCAGTGTCTTTTAGTTCTGTAACTTTTGCAGGTATTTTATGAGCTACAGAATGTTATTAAAAATATCTGATTGTTACTCTCTGTGAATGTAATGATAATATTATTATGTCATCTTACGGGTTTGAAGGTATTTTGTCCAGACTACTATGAATGCAAATATGTGTGTTTTATTCATATATAAAATAGACATTTTTGTGAGTGTCACAAATTCCTCATACAAAGATATAAGCTTGTCTTTTAGAACATTGAATGTTTCTCAACACTTGTTTTGTGGAAGTATATTCTTGTAGGTGCTCTCATAAATGTGCTTTAAGGTCTACTGTATTGAACTAGGAATGCAGGTACATTAGTTAACTTGCATAAATCTCTAGCAAAATGAATATTTATTCTTTTGTACTGGACAAGAATGCTAGTTATTCCTTCTGGAGTATTTTTGTGGACTAGCAGTCCATGGGCTTAGAAGGGTGTAACTCTGCTTTGGATGTCATTGTGAAACCTCCAACTTGCAATTTTGTTGGCATCAGCTTGAGATGCACTTTGCATTATCCTCAGATGGATGATGTCAGAAACTGTCTTCTGTAGAAAGAGTGAGATATTTCTGCTTCATGTATGTGCTTCTGTTTTTAGGTAACTGGCCCATCAGGTTGTGGGAAAACTCAGTTTTGTATTATGCTGAGCTTGCTGACCACATTGCCCTCCAGCATGGGGGGACTGGATGGCGCTGTTATATACATTGACACAGAATCTGCATTCAGTGCTGAAAGGTGAGGTTTATTAAAAATGAAATCTTTTCAGATTGAGATTAGTTAATTGTGTCACAGTCCCCTTGCATGGTTATCTTCTTGACCTCTTCTCCCTGCCCTCATTCCTAACAGGCCCCAACCATACCCAGTTGCAGGTACCACCTGACACACACATAGTGTGCTCAGCAGCCTTCAGAGCTTTTATAGCTGGTGGGGAAAGACACAACTTCTCACAGAGAAGAATCTCCAGCTTGGAACACCTTGCTTTGAATCAAGAGTTGTTGTGAACCCAGGATTTTCCAGGGCTTAGCTGCCTCCTGTTACTTTAAGGGAGAAGCTTAGGTATGAGTGTCTCTGTCTGTGCACTGTGCCCTCTAGCCACAGTCCAGAATCTGTAATTGTTGATACTGAAATCTTTATGGGCATGTAAATTGCCCTGATTTCCAGTCTTCTGGGATAATCCTGGGGCATCATGTCACGGTAGAGCCAGGGAGGCAGGCAGACAGGGGGAGTCACAATACAAGTCCAAAGGTCAGCCGGGAGAGCAGTCAACAGAGCATTAAACAAGTCCCAAAACACCAGACAAAGCCGTAGTCAAATGTTACCAGAGGTGTTATAGTCAAATGTTACCAGAGGTGTTATACAGGGAGCAAAGCCGAGGGTGTGGTCAGGTTCAAAGCTGGAAGTCAGGAGCCAGAGTAGTCCAAACACAAGCCGAGTCCAAAAGCCACAGAGTCAAACAGGAATCAAGGTGCAGAGCTTCTAGTTCTACAAATGAGGTTGCTAGCACAAATTGCTCATGGCCAGAGGCCCTACTAAATAGTGCTCTGGCCCATTAACTCATTAGCACCTTTGTGCGAGGTCCTGGCTGCTGTTAAAAATCAGGGCTCAAGGATCTCTGCCCTCTTGAACGTGCTTCTTTTCGTCGGCTAGCCAGCTCCTGACGTCTCTGATCCCTAAGGCTACTTACAGGTGGGGGAGATGCAGGTGGTGAGCTGCTTATGGCCTGCTCAATCCCAGGTACAAACCGTCCTGTAGTTGACTCAGATTGCTGTGTATCCTCCTCAGTACTTACAGTAGGTGCAGATCCTGATGCTTCTTCAGCTCTTAAAGGCACTGAATCCTCCCCTCTTAGGCTGTCAGGAGCTGGCTCTGGGGCTGAGTCAAGGGCAAGCATGACACATCACAGTTGCTGCGTATTTACTGATCTTTGCATCAGATAATGTGTTATAATCCTGCTTTTTCTCATTTGTCAACTTAAATAGTAGGAACATAGTTAGAATCATAGAATCATAGAGTTGGAAGGGACCTCCAGGGTCATCTAGTCCAACCCCCTGCACAATGCAGGAAATTTACAAATACCTCCCCCTCCACACCCGCAGTGACCGCTGTTCCATGCCCAGAAGATGACAAAAAACCTCCAGGATCCTTGGCGAAACCGGCCTGGAGAAAAATTGCTTCCTGGCCCCAAAGTGGCAATCAGCATTTCCCTGGGTGTGTAAGAAAGAGCCACAAGAACTAAGCACTGATCCTCTTCCTGCCCTCCCTCTCATGATCTGCCTAAGTTCAGAACATTACTGTCAGATGGCCATCTAGCCTCTGTTTGAAAACTTCCAAAGAAGGAGAGCCTACCATCTTCCGCAGAAGCCTGTTCCACTGAAGAACCGTTCTAACTGTCAGGAAGTTCTTCCTAATGTTTAGCCGAAAACTCTACTGATTTAATTTCAATCCATTGGTTCTGGTCCGACCTTCTGAGCAACAGAAAACAACTCCGTACCATCCTCTCTATGACAGCCCTTCAAGTACTTGAAGATGGTTATCATATCGCCTCTCAGTCGTCTCCTCTCCAGGCTAAATGTACCCAGCTCCTCCAACCTTTCCTCATAGGACTTGATCTCCAGACTCCTAACCATCTTCGTTGCCCTCCTCTGGACATGTTCCAGCTTATCGATATCCTTCTTAAATTGTGGTGCCCAAAACGGAACACAATACTCTAGGTGAGGTCTAACCAGAGCAGAGTAAAGTGGTACCATCACTTCGCATGATCTGGGCACTATACTTCTGTTGATGGGCTTGGTTGTGCTTCTGACATAAGATACTCTTATAATTTTAGTAGTGCATATTCAAAGACTTGTGCCACAATATTGGGTACAGGATCAAACTCTCCATCTTCTTAATCCTGTTCTATTTACTTTTAATAGTGCTCCTCTGTTTTATGTTTATGTAATCCTGTGAATGAACTTGAACGTATGGAACAATGCTTAAATTTAGACTGATATCTTCTCTCAGTGATGTGTCTTTTGGACTTTGAACAGGCTTATTGAGATGGCACAGCACCGTTTCCCTCATTATTTTGCCACAAAAGAAAAACTTATTTCAATGCCCAGCTGCATTCATGTTTATCGGGAGCTCACCTGCGACAGTGTACTTAAAAGGTAAGACTTATTTGTTGTGTGCAGCATGATATCAGATATATAAAACTATTCTGTACCAAATGTGCACAATTTGGACAGGACAGTACATTCCTGCATGTTTTGAAATTCAGCATTATTTTCTACAATATATTTTCCATTAAAGAAGAACTGTGGCATGAAACACATTGGGGTTTCGGATATTAAATCTATGTGCATCCATGGGAACTTTTAAAGCTATATTGCTGTAAGGTGTATTATTTATTTATACAGATAACATAGTAATGTGAAACTTTTAAAGTTTTGGGTAGCATTTTCTTAAGCCCCCTTGTTTCATTTCTTCTGCAGTTGGATAAAGATATGACATTTGTTTTGATGTTTAAGTGCCTTTTTCTCAAAGATTTGTTGAGGTCCTTATGGAGCATTGCATCTAGCCTACGACAATTTGTATTCTAATCAAAGAAACCAGCATTCCATATTCAGAACTATGACAACCCACAAACTATTTTGTCAAGCATGTGTTTCATTTTTTTGCAAGCTTTGAAATTCTTAGCAATCAAAATTGGTGGGAGGGGCTATAAGGAATCATGACTAGCGACTGTTTTGCATCTGTGTTATAGAAGTGCATGTTTGCATTCTTATTGTTGGGTGATAGTGAGATATTGAAAAAATGGTATTTAGCAGAGATAATATAGCCCAGCAGAGCCTGAGTAAAATAATTCAGACTGAGAGTCCATGTGTGATTAAAATATAAAGTTTTTACTAAATTCTAGCATGGGGAAGGGTAACTGGGATGAAAATAACAACAGAGCTAAATCGGCTACATCCTTACACTACAAAGACAAAACTAGAAGAGAGAGAATGGCTGCTCTCCTTCTTCAGAACACAAAAACAAAGACGGGAAGAGAAGCCACAAAATGGTAATACACCTTGACACTTTAGTCCCAATCAAATCCCTAGATCAGGGAGAAAATCCCCGGGCTTCCTACATCTAAAGAACATTGGTTACATGAGAAACATGTGACTTCCTGTGAGCAACATAAACAAACATTTAACCCCAGATATACTGAGTGTTTTTAACTTGTAATACCCAACACTTATATACCATGTGGGAATAGAATTAGTACTTTTTGTGCCTTGAAAAATGGCATGTGAGGATACAATACTATAGAAACACCATTAAAACTAGCTCTTTTTCAGGTAATGTGAAAAAAAATTATGGCACACAATGGGATAGTTTTGAAGGGGTTCCTTTTTGTTTCGTTTTTTCCCCTTAAAATACACAGATGTACCTTCCTTGGGATCCTCAAAGCTTATGGTTAGATTCATGCACCTTTAAAGGAAAATGTTTATCTGCTGTAGGTGGTCTGTAAACACATACAAAATGATATTGCAGAAGGGTATGCTTTTGTTTGTGGGGAGGTGCACTTTTATATTTATAGTACTCTGCTCACCCATATACAAGGATCAACTGGGAAAACTTTAGTGCAAACAGAAGCTTTCTGAGCAAGAACTTAATTGCTTTATCCTCAATTTAACACCTAACACGTTGATGTTAAAAACAAATAATGGCAATAAAAACACTTTATCTCTGAACCTTTTCCCCCCTAGGATCGAATCTTTGGAAGAAGAAATTATTTCTAAGAATGTCAAATTAGTAGTCATAGATTCTGTTGCTTCAGTAGTCAGAAAAGAGTTTGATACAAAACTTCAAGGCAATTTGCTGGAAAGAAGCAACTTGCTGGCTAGAGAAGCATCAATATTGAAGTACTTGGCTGAAGAATTTTCAATACCAGTAAGTTTTCTTTCTTCTACTTGTGTATGATCTCTAATTTAAGAGTTTTTAATGTCAGAATATCGGACACTTAAAAATGGTAAGGAGGGTTGGCAACTTTCTTATGGGTACAAGTGACTTGTAAATACATAATCTTGTATATGAAATAGATCAATGTGTTTCAAAGGTAATATGGTAATTTACATTCACTTCTGATCTTAAAGATGGTTTAACAAGGCTTTTTGTATCATTTTCAGAGCTTTTAATATGTGATATTTTAATTTGACAGAACTTCCCTAATAGCATTCACTTCTCAATTACTGTTGGGTTCACTAAATGAGAAAGTATTCTAAGACTTTGATCTTCCTAGGAAACTGACATTCTTGATATTTAGGGCCATTTTGCATGATCCTATTTTACAATTTTGGTTAACCTTTGTGGTGGTTGTATGAAACCATGGCTGGAATGTTCATCCAACTTTTTAAAAGAGAACTTTGAACAAGTCTTTCCTCTGCCAGTGCTCAGATTTTTCTGGATCTGAATTTTTCTAATTTAAAATTTTGCGGAGGCTGTTTGCTCTACTACTCCAGAGCTAGAGCTTTCCTCTGCCCGGAGTTTGGGGGGGGAAGGGGTATCCTCTCATAGTGAAACATTTTTTGACAAATTTAGAAGCTAGCAAGATTTTCTGGGAGCCAAATATTAGGAAAAACTTGCATCCTGACCTCTGCAATGCCAGTTATTAGGCATTTTTAGGTGTCTGGTTTTTGCACTTTGTTATGTTAGCTTTGGTTTACAGTTTGTGGGGATTTTATTGCACAAATGTGCATCTTTATTGCACAAAGATGAAATGGCATGGGACATACTCTTGTATGTTCAGTGTCTATAAAAGAACACACACACATTATTAATAGCAGCTGAGTGGTGACAATGCATAGACTCCAGAGGAAAGGCTTCTTATTAGGCCATTATAGTTGAGGTGTAGGGCACATAAAAGACAAGAGAGAAGACTACTTGGTTAGTACCTCCACTATGGTAGAAAACTGACCTCCCCCTCTCTATTGATATGAGGAGTGGAGGAAGTGATAGAACAAAGAAAAAATTCATTTTCATTCTTGGATCACATTATGAACATTTAATGCTTCCCTTGGCCAACAATGTGGGTGTTTTAAGTATAGCTAGCCTTTTTGGCAGGCTTTGCTCTTATTCCTTTAAAATTGCAATTCTTCCCTCTCTCGCTTTTAGAATTTCTTGTTAATGATACATTCCAAATGAATTAGAGATATGTTGGCAGAAATAAGCTGATAGGCTATATAAAGGCTATATAAAGGCATATTGGTGGGTTCTGCACTGTGGGGCATTTGTAGCCAGGATTTCGGGAGACAGGACTAGTACCATTAGAATGCCAGAGATCATGACTGACCTGGTGGATGGTCCATCTCATCCATACAAGTTTACAACATCAGGATGCTGCAGCATGTTTCATCATCCAGTAGTTGTCTGGGCTGCCTCTGTTCTTGAGTGGCTTTGATTTGCTCAGTAAAAAGATTTGAAATAAGCATCTTTTCCTTCCTTATGTATATATAAGAGAGACCCAGAAATGGTTATGACAGCATACAGTACAGATCTAAGCAGGTGGGGCCCTACATGCTACCATGAAGGGAGAACATCATGAGAACCATATATAGGGAATGTATAATAAAATCGTAATAATGCAAAAGCGTAGGCACCTTTGGGCACAGTTAATGACATACATGTTATAAGAGAGGATGTCGCTAAAGCTTAAATAAGTTCTCCTTTCTGTCCAGCAGGAA